AATATTAAAATATGTGTGTATATGCAGTATACAATAGTGTATATATATATATATATATGGGTAAACAGTCATAAAACATTTGTTAACGTCTCCATAAGAAGATATAGACAATCAGGAATTTTGACCAGGTATGATTACTTATTGACACACATCCATTTTTATTTATTAATCAGGATTTGCCATGCATCAGCTAACACCACACCGTCACATCTGTTCAAACTCTTGGGATTCACCCATATATGTAGAGCTTCAGCAGTCAGCCTTTCTTTATACGAACCAAAACCTTTCCGTAGAACCTTAGTCTTATCAAAGTCGATTTTGTGTCCCGTTTCTATCGAATGCAGTGCTATCGCTGAATTGTTTTCTAGCTTCTTCAAGTCTGTAGAGGTCTTTAAACCGCCTTTAGACATTGTTTATGCTCTTTCACTCTTATATTTACCTGTCTGGAAGTTTCTCCTACATATACAGCAGGCTCACAGTGTCCACAATTGATCTGGTACACACAATTCTGTTGGTTTTCTTCTGCTATTTTATCCTTAACCTTCACCAGTGATGAGCGTGAGGTGTTAGTTGCACGAAAATACACTCTTATGTTATGGTCGTTAAGAATTCGCTTTATTTCATCGGATGTTTCTTTGAGGTAAGGAATCACTGCTGTACTAACCCACTTCTTAGCAATAAGTTTCGACTCATCCTTATCTTCACATTTTAAATATCTTTTTATGTAGGCTTTAGGATAATTATTTGATTCAAGAGTGGAATGAACCAATTTTAGTTCCTTGCTAATCTCTTCCTCCTCAGTAACTAGACGTTTGGCTCTGTTAATCAGATTTTCTGCCGCAGTTACTTTAGTGTTAAAGGGGTCAATCATTGCCAGTTCATAGCTGAAAGCATTCATATGAATGTTGTGGGTTTTGATTCATATTCCCTAAAGCCTTCAATTACTGATCACTTGCATACCTTGGATCTCACTGATGTAGTCACTTCACATACCTCTGGGTTCAGATATTGCAGTTGTGAAAGGATAACCTTCATGGAATCAGCCTTCACAATTTACAAAATAATTGTTGAAGATTCTTAAATAAACGTACACTTTCTGGTTGCAGTCTTTGAGGATACAAGGAATCAGTAGTTGAGTTAATTAAGTAACAGGTCTCAGATATCTCCACCCACCCCTTAGATTATCAGAATTCTAAATTTGTTTTGTTACACATTCTTACTTATTATGAAATCACTTTACTTTTCATACATTCGGTTCCCATGGTAAACTTCGATAGAGGAAGAAAGACCAGATTTGCAGTATAAAAAATGATATCATTCTATTTCCCAGGTTCTCATCAGCTAAATGCAAACTACCTGAAATTGCAATGATTATCAATAATAACATTTCATACTTCATTGTTTGAAAGGTAATAGAGAAAACTAGTGTATAAATATCTGCTTCCTTTTAAGCATAAGTTTCTCGGAATATGCTCTGAAAACCGGATAGTAGCCATTCTTTCTGTCCTTCCAATGTAGTTGCTGCTGCAGGTGCACGTAAATTTATAAATGCACTTGGAAGTAACATCAGCAGGGTACTTATCCAGCTGCTGATGTTACTTCCAAGTGCATTTATAAATTTACGTGCACCTGCGGCAGCAACTACATTGGAGGGACAGAAAGAATGGCTTCTATCCGGTTTTCAGAGCATATTCCGAGAAACTTATGCTTAAAAGGAAGCAGATATTTAAAAAGTGCAATTATCAGCCACCTTGTGGATACGTCTGATTTCTCTGAGATTTCCATATCCTTCAAAATATTAAACATACAAAGGACAGCGAATCTACTACGATTTACTGCTGAAGCAATTACAGCAATCAAACATCACAGACCAAATTTATGCAGACAGAAAGAGAGTGTAGTCAATCTCTCACTCCCTTGGTAACCATATCACTTTCATTACACTGATTAGTCATACACACTGATGGGTTCAAATCACTAAGCAAGTTTTCAAATTGATGAACTTTGACCTTCTTGAGTTGGCATGTTGAAACTGTTTATTAGATTTTTCTGTTTTCTGTCTTCTCTCAACCCCCCCCCCTTTTCTTTTTTCATAGTTTGATAGTATATAAATTGATGGTAACTTAAACTATAAATTATAATACTTATATTCCAGATTCGTTCACCTTATAATGTTTTCTCTATTACCTTTCAAACAATAAAGTATGAAATGTTATTATTTATAACCATTGTAATTTCAGGTAATTTGTAGTTAGCTGATGAGAACCTGTGAAATAGAATGGTATCACTTTTTGCTTTTGTTTTGCATATGTTCACTTTAGAAGTATGGCAGTTTAAACTGACGTATTTCTGTCCACAGTTCCACACTGATGTGTTAGTCAATCACCATGCTCCATTTACTTGTATTTGTTTAACAGAAATGACTTCGGTCTATTCAAAAGTCAACTCCGGGAATATGCTCCTATGTTGTGCCCATGTTGTGAAATCATAATAATTAACACATTTAGAAAACTACAATTACAAAATATATAATTTCGGATCACAGAATGAAATCGACTAGAGAACTGCAGAAAAGCTTTCAGTACTAGACAGCCTTTCACTACTCCCGTGTTTACAGTGGTTCCTTAACTAATATCAACTCATGATTTAACATGAGCGTCAACGGTCTTTTCACCTTTACACTATCAGAGTTGATATGCCTAACTGTGGTGGACAGGATTATGCGTCAGAATATGAACAGTGAGAAGAAAGAAATACACTGGACTGATGAGAAGGCCCCTAGAAGATCTGGATTTTGTGGATGATTTATGTCTAGTGTCACACGAACTCGAAGACTTACAGGTGAAAATCAACAAAGTGGCTGAAGAAGCAACAAAGTCAGTATTTCAAGTGGACACAGAGAAGACGGAAGTGATGAAGATAACTAATAACCACAACAACCAGCACCGATCACCATCAACGGGAGAAATTCGAAAGAGATTACTCCCTTCACTTATCTGGCGAGGAAGCATAGTTTCAACCACAGGCGACAACCCCAGTACACATGTCAAAACCAGACAGAATGAGAAAGGTAAGAGAGACCTTCATCACAGTGAAATCACTTTGGGAATTTTCCCCAATCGGAATGAAGAACGAGATTAGGATTTTTAACACCAGTGTCAAATCAGTCAGTTCTCGATAATAACTATAATACTTGGGCACTGTGGTAGAGCATAACTCCATTTGGGATAGGATTTTATTTTGATAAATCACACAGTGTTGTTACACAGTAATATTAACTGATGACCACACGTTTGCTCATAATCATAATCACTCACACAACATTTTTTCTTTCATTTATACGCATATGTGGAATTGACTAAATATTGGAATAAAATTCAATATAGGATAATGTACATTCAGAAATAATAATTACAATCGGGTGGGAAATAAGACAAGTGCTTTTATAGTCATAATAAGTAACTTGTTAGAATGTTGTGATGTACACGAATTGAAATAGAATTTTAAGATTATTTATTATCCTCCTCTGATTTGACTGACTGGCGGTAATAATATCTTCCAAATTTCTGGTATATGCATTAAGTCGTTTCTGTTGCATGTGTTGGGTGTAGACTCAATGAACCAGACAGGATTCAGTAATCAATCTCTCTCTCTTTCTCTCTCTTAGAATCTTAACCCTCTCGCACCACCCTATTGTATGGTTTTGTGTTAATCCATGTGGTGCAATCACTGAGCTTGTTTTTCTAAATTATTCATCTTCTCTGGGGTCAATCATTCTTACCTTAGCCAAATTCTTATGTACTGAAAACCTGATTACCTCCGATCTACTAGTTTGATCTATATAGTTGACCTCACAGTCACTGCAGGGCATTTTGTAAATTATACTATTTTGTTTAACGGGGTTCACCGGGTCTTCTAGCCTACACAGATTGTCTCTGTGTGAGTTTGTACGTTTGAATGCCACCCTAATCCCTGATTTATAAAGAATCCTACGTAGGGCCTCAGATGTCCCGTCCTTATATGGTATAACTGTAGATGATTTATATTTATTATTAGTTTCACAATTATTTTTATTTTGCTTTTGGCCTTTTTCGATCTTCCCAATGAATTTTAAAGGATAGTTATTTAACACCAGCGTCTCTTCTATCTGTTTTATTTCATCATTGAGATCTTTTTTGTGTTACTTAGTGCTACGGCTCGGTTTATCAAACACTTAACCAAGCCTGCCTTAACAGTTAACGGATGAGATGAAATGAAATGAAGGAAAACGTTGTATAGGTAGCTTGATATGGATTATGAGTGGCAATAATTTGTGCTCGAAACGTCATCAGTTAATGTTACTGTGTAACACTGTGTGACTTATCAAAATTAAAACCTTATCTACAATGCAGTCAGTGCTCCTTTATGAATCAGAAACTTGGCACACACCTCACGTGAAGCATTTCCAACAGGCTATTTCAAACTTTTATCAACAGCTGGTTTCACCGGTTCCATACTGAAGATCAAATGACCAATGGTTTAGCAACGAGAAATTTGGAGAATGAACCAACCAAGAAGCTAGTACTCAACAAATATGTAGAAGAAAATGGAAAAGGATCGGGTACACACTCAGCAAACCATAGAATGACATCATGCGTCATGCCATCGTCCTAGTGGAGCCAGAGCGGGAAACGACGAATTGGGCATGGGTCCGAGGGTGAAATCAAAAAGATAGTATGAAGAGGAGATGAGAACATACAAGCAGTTGTGCAGTCAGCTAAAAGGGATCACAGGGGGAATACAGAGTGGAGATGTACTGTTGAAATTCTATTTTCCATACAGAAATCAAGGGAACACTAATGTTAGTACTGAGTACTGTAGGTTACACCTTAGTGACTGATCAGTGTAACTTCATGCCTATCAACAAATAAAAAGTATTTTATTGAATATATACAATTAGTCAGTTGATAACCGAATGAAGAAACACTCTGCATATAAAAATAAAATATACTATAACATACTTCATCGTAAGAATTTGATACAATTGTTATATAATTTGAACTGTTCATCCATTTACAAACATTTGGACATCGAAATTCACTTCGTGTATTTTGCATGCTTGAAGTTATTGGAGCACTATTCGACCAGAGAGTAAATACAGTACGCGGTGACATTCGAGTATCCGATGGGAAAGTGAACTCATTGATTTTTTCTTGACCATGTTTTTGCCATACTTTATATAATCCTATATCAAGCTCCTACATATAGAAGGATAAATAGAATATTTATATATATGTTAATGCAAGTATGATTAAAAACACGAAATTTGAAAGGTTAATACTGAATCAGAAACTGAACAACAAACAGTTCCGCAGTTAGTTATCAGGTTACAAAATCAGAAATCAAATATCCGACAATGAAAATGTTTAGACCAATAGGTGACTGGAGTGCATCTGGATAAAAATTTGTCTAGTCAACAAGGTTTATATTACAATGACCAGGAGAGATGATGGAACGATTCAGCGATCTATTTTTCGTAAACAGACATGGATGGAGTGGATAATATCTTCATTTTACCAGTTTTGTTCCTATCCAGTATAAACGTTCCCTAGTGAAAGGTTTGTTCTCAAGGGGCCGAAAAATTGGCATGAGTGACACACTGATGGATGAGTTTCGACATTTACATTCAGTTTTATTAGCTAATGGTTATCTGGAAAACTTTATCACTTGTCACAGTAAAGAAAGACCACATCTCGGAAAGACAGTTTCTGTACCATGGAAAGCTATCTTTATTAACCTACCATTCAGGGAAGACCAGATTATGCAGATGACAGCTCAAAGACATCGGTCAGCCATCAAACGCACATTCTACGTCGCCGAATCTCTTTTTCTCACTTCCCGAACATTTTCAATCCCTGTACCCACCTATGATTAAAGGACGAAATTCTGTGGACTCTACACTTCAAACTGTATCTACAAGTTCAGCTGCAGCTGCGGTGATACACACCATATAAGTAGAACCAATAGAATGTTCCAATGTCGTCGAAAAGAACATATTCTAAAATGGCTACTAAATCATATTGAAAATCCCGATGCGATTAATCTGAATAGAAATCCATCAGCATCATCCATTGCAAAACACTTATTAATGTCAGGCCACAAAGTCAATATTAATTACTGTTTCACAATTATTTCACATAACTCTAATTCAAGGTTGGTTACTGAAGGTGATGGAAGCACTTTGGGGGATTAATCACATACAGCCTAAACCGTGTGTACAAAAAGACAGAATAGACTTCAATCTTCGCCTACCATGGACTGCATGACCTATTTAAATGTGATTGGTCATTAGTATGTGCTTTTGTTTTTTACATAACTGAGTAATTGTCATGATCTTTATTTTATTATTGTTAACCATATTAGTAGTTGTCAAGCGGTTGTAAAGAAACTATGAAATGACGATATCATCTCGCTGTGAAATTTGCCTTCTAAATGCCTTATTCAAATATATATCAGCGTTTTCTCAACATTATTTTCTCATGATTGCATTACTCTTCCCTTTAGAAGCCCATCACAATTTCTCTCTGTTCGCCACAGTCTTTTTTTAGTTGATTCTGTCATTGCGCATAAGCTTTGATTTGATCCTTAGACGATTGCCTCCACTTCACTGTTTGACACACAAACCCAACTTATCGTTTCTCACTTGTGTTCTACTCAACAGTCTTGTAAACGAATGTCCAATTCATCTCCATTTCTTTCTACGTATTTTTCAGACATCCAGTTCTTGATTGATTCCTTGCCAAAGTTCTTTTTTTAATTGTCCTTTCTGACCAGTCATCTGATCCGGAGTAATGGCAGAAGGGATCAGCTGTTGATGAAATTCTGCGGCCCACAGGAAACACTTTTTGTGACACTCTAGGTCTTTGAACAATACAGAAGAAGTGACATGGACTAGCATTGAAAATCCGAATCTAACTTCTTAGGCTAATTACATTCGACTCCAGTCTGATTTCAGATGAATGAAAGTGTGTTCTACTTTCCTATCCTGAATTCCCTATGATATCCACATTTGTGTCTCATGTAGATGAAACGATGCTGTCTAGGTGTACGTGGAAGGAGTGATTTCTTTTAGATTTCTTCTGTCGATGATAACTGCTGCTTGTTGTTAGTTGGGCATCTTTATTATCCCTGTCTTCTCTATGTTCATTTGAAGGGTTGTCTCTCCTGTCAACTTATTGGTTTCTCCCCCTCTAGATCTTCGGTTGTGTGCGACTTTAGGCATAAATTGTCTTGCATGAAGTTCAGATCTCGCCTAATTTATTGTTGGATCCTAAACCCAGAAAAGAGGGAAGGCTGAACTGAAGGCGAACAACACAACACCCAGAAAATCAATCCAGTTGCTTTAGAAATTTTAAGGCACAGAAGAAAATTGTAGATATTGTATAGTCTTGTGGAGTGTGCTACTGATAAAGACACCCTCATCGGTACACAAAAATATCAAATAGCGGAGAGATACATACAGTTAACGTCAAAGAGAGGAAATGATTCAGCGTTACGACAGAACACTGGAGACATGAAAAGAAGACGAAGAACAACTATATGAAAGAAGGGCAGAAGTAGCACAACACCACAGAAGATCCGTGCAAATGACGACTTTCAAAAATATAGTGTACATAATTTCCCTATATAGGGATATCAAATGAATTCCAGTTCTGCAGATGTCTGCCCATATTAAGGTAATGTACTTGTTAATTGGAGAAGGCTCATTTACCACATAAGATTTTCCTACATGAAACGTAACACTCAAAGCTTCGTCGACTAGAACAAAACTAGCATTTGCAATTGATAGTGTTCTCTGAGCTCCTTGGTTTAATTGCAGAGCTTTCATCGTCTTTCTGGACGACATCTTCAGCGCAGTATTTAGAATAAAGTGAAATGATTTAAATTTCTTCATGAGTCTCCCGGTAACCATCTTTAGATATGTATTGACCGTTTTCTATCAATTGGGATTTTGAACTTTCTGATCACCTGATTAACTTTTTATTAGTTGATATATTTCGTCTATATTAACGTGTTTATTAATTGCGTTTTCATTTGAGTACCAGGCTTCTAGGAATTCCCTGGCACATTTGGTGTTTCCTCTGTTTAAGATTTTGACATTATCCCATTCAAATTGATGTCCATAATCGTCTGGACATCAATTTGATTGGGATAATGTCAAAATCTTAAACAGAGGAAACACCAAATGTGCCAGGGAATTCCTAGAAGCCTGGTACTCAAATGAAAACGCAATTAATAAACACGTTAATATAGACGAAATATATCAACTAATAAAAAGTTAATCAGGTGATCAGAAAGTTCAAAATCCCAATTGATAGAAAACGGTCAATACATATCTAAAGATGGTTACCGGGAGACTCATGAAGAAATTTAAATCATTTCACTTTATTCTAAATACTGCGCTGAAGATGTCGTCCAGAAAGACGATGAAAGCTCTGCAATTAAACCAAGGAGCTCAGAGAACAATATCAATTGCAAATCATCCACCTGAGTTACAAATCTTTTCTATTATTTCAAAACTAGCATTTGCTTAACACCACAGTTAGGTAACTACTAAACAGTATGATGTAGAGGATCATAGGATTTTTCAGAGTATATGTGACTTTGAGAGTTGGGGGCTCAAATGGTACCTCATGTAAGATTGAATTTAAAACAAACTGACTATCAGGCCGAAATATTATCGTCCAGCCACTGGTTTGAAATCCGACTGTCCGTAAGCCCTCTTAACAGTTTGAGGACATCCAAAAGTTTCATATGACGTCATACACCGTCTACAGTAATATAGTATTACAAACAGTGTGTATTTATCAGGTTCTATTGAATTCCGCTGTTACCTTTTTTATAGATCAATAAGAAGTGCTATAATTGCACGTATATTCAACACTCATCACTCAATATGCAGGGAGAATTCATTCAAAATCGTCTACGAAGTTAAAAGAAGCCGAAGCCTTAGCGATTCGAGTAGAAAATCTAGATTTGTGTACACAGAAGAAACTTTTATACTCCTTTCTTCTACCTTGGGTATAATTCCAAGTTTAAGCACTTTATATTAATAAGGCATTTTTTCGAGTGTTTTTATGACTTCTTAGCAACATTTTTTTGTTAACCGGCCCTTTATTTTCTCTTTCGATTACATAATTTACTTTGGACGCGTGTCTACGTGCTCTTTTATTAACATGCTATTTTTCTAAGTGTCAACCATATTACGCAACCCTTGTCAATACTTACCAATCTTGATCACATTTCTGAAACATTTTGATGACGTTAACAATAAATCAAGCTAACTTTTACTTTTGTTTGACAATCCTAATTTACACACACATACAAAAACACACAAAATATCTATATATAAATGTGACTGTACAGCTACGTGAATGAATTCGCCGAAAAGAGACTCTTCCCTGAACTTTTTGTGTCTTATATTCATGTCTGGATGGGTATTTCCCACGAATAGTAAAATTGGCATAGTTTTTCACTGCCTAAATTCAATTAGAGATATTTTCCGGGGGTTCTATAACTTATTCGTTGACAATAAAGCACAATTAGAAATGACTGAACGGATCGCCTTTCCGTTTAGTGTCAAACGAATCACACGATAGAAATAACTTTGTTAAATACGCAATTTTAACTTCTGTTGAGTGTTTGTGTTGTTTTCTGGTTTACTGCGTCGGTGGCACAGTGGTTATGACTCTCACCGATCATGCACATGGTCCGAGGTTCAATACCCTGCCGACGCACACCTGATATCTACGGTCAGCCTGCAAAATTTGGGCTACCGATATCCCATGCGGAAAATTCCATACTTGTAGCAAAAATACAGTGTGGAATCAAGCTGTAATCAAAAATCAGTCAATAAATATTCGATCATTGCAGATGACACTTACACATGAGTACTACACTACTCCTTAGATGTTCCCTGGTAGTTTGAAAAACCCCAAACCATAACTTAAAATATAATTAGTTGTTAAGTATCAATCCCGACAGAATACATATCATCAACTACAAATATGTTATTCTTACAACAGACAAGCTTCTTTGTTAGCCACGAAGTCTTCAGTTATGCATGTACTGACACGACAACCGGTTGGACGATTCTGATTCGTTTATTTTTGGCTTAATATTCTGAGGGTTTGTAAATGTAATTTACCATGTATTTCACCTAATGGACGTTTTTACGGTTGCATATATATATATATATATATATATATATATATATATATATCAATTCAGCTGAGCTTGTGGAGCGAGTTATATTGGCCGTCACTCTAGGAACTTGAAGTTTCGTGCTCGAGAACATCTCCCGCTATGTCTAAGTAAAGCTGAAGTGAAAACCATTAACAGTTCGATATTGGACCATCTGGTGCAAACTGGCCATAAAGCCAGCGTGGAAGAATTCTCCTCTATAATCTACCAGGTGCCTAATAAATTGCCAAAATCATCGAAGCACCGCATGCTCCAATTCGCCTCAAACAACCAGTGATCTGTGTTCAAAAGAAGCAAGTCCAGTCCCTACTACTGCCCTGGCCGGCCTTCACTTATTATTATTATATCCTTTAATTCCTAGAGGAACATAGGGCTTCACCCGCGCGTCTCCATTGCCTTCAGTCTTCTGCCAACTTTTTAACCTCGCTCCAGGTCTGTCCACATGATTTCATCTCCTCTTGACATGACCTCCTCCAAGTCACCCTTGCACTGATGACCAACTCGCCGCTTCCCTTTCGGCTTCTACTCGAGCAATGGCTTGTCTAGTGATGTCACTCACTTGATGGTTTCCTCAGAGTATGGCCAGCCAATCCATCTCCATTTCTTCCTGCCTATTTGTTTCACAATCGGTTCCTGGTTGGTCCACTCACCGCCAGAGATCCCTCCCTGTTGCTGATCTTTTCTGGCCGGCCATCTGATCTTGACTAGTATTGAGCGAAGACACCTGTTGATGAAGGTCTGTAGTTTGTTTGAGGTGCTCTTTATGACGCGCAGTGCAAGTCTTTGATCCGTATAGTAAGTGGCACTGACTCCATACAGTGGAGTTGAAAATCCGGATCTTATTTTTGATGCTGACTGCTGTTGACCTCCACACAGACTTAAGAGTAATGAAAGCCGGCCTTTAGTAGAGACTATAAATTCATGAATGTGTAATATTATCTTTCCTAATTTTCCTGACTGACATTCAGCTTATTTTATGTTGATGCTATTTAGCTGTAATCTATCACTATTCATGATTCGATGTTATTTAAACAACATTAATGTTGTTCATAACACTAATTCATTCACTCACTAAAATGTATATATATATATATAACTGTAGAGCCTGATGATGAAGTTGTCGGAAAGAGTACTCTTTGTTCAGTATCCATTCTTTTGTATATATATATATATATATATATATATATATGTGGTGAGAGCAGCCCGCTAGCCAATCGGTTGACATTAATCTACGTCAATGTCTAGGTCACTAATATGGGCCGTGAGAAAATATGAACAAGGCTGTTTCAACAACCAATCACAGCAAACTTAAACGTGGGCTAATATGATTCGCATATAGATGGCTCCACTTTCCGAGGAACTCGAAAACAACCAATCAGAAGACTGCGTTTGTCTACTTGACTAGGCTATAGTAATGTATGTGAAATTTATATAAATACGTGTTGATTTCCGTAATAAAACGATCTGTTGCCTGGCCCTTGTCTTTTGTTGTTACATATATATATATATATATATATATATATATATATATATAATGAAACAATGATAAATTACGCCTGATGTTTAAAACGCCTACGCATAAAACAGACAACTTTACCTTACTGGTGCTTGAATTCCACAGTAGTAGATAACGCCCGTTAGGATCAATTTCACAGATTTGTAAACATCCAATGGCACTTCGATTAAAAGTAGGAAAAATCAGATAATGGAAATAAGTTAACAAATAGAATTTAGTTTTTAGTACTGTAAAGAACGAGTATAGCAAAGACAAATCAAAAGTGTGCTGTAAGCAACTACAATGAACCTTCTAGAAATTATGGAATATGGCATTGATATTAATTACTACTTTCAAATAGTATTAACCTTATTGTATTAGGCAATTTTTGTTCTAAGATGTCTGTTAGTCATTCAACTGTGAATTTCTTAGGACGTCTCTTCTCTTGTTACCTTCCCACTGATGTCGATTACCACTGTTTTTTTCTAGGATTTAACTCTATATCCTTAGATTATTATTATTATTACTCCCCAGGGGTTCTGGGTGGAACATAGAGCATCAACAACACATCTGCACTTTGTTCTATTCTCTGCAGTTCTATTCTGTTGACCCCAATGATTGCCCATAGGCTCGTATCTCTTCCTCTCACGATCTCCTCAATGTTACACTCCGATGTCCCACTCATAGTTTCCCATTTGGGTTCCGATTGAGAGACAGCATGACACACGACGTCATTCAACGGTCTCCTCAGTGTGTGCCCATTCCATCTCCATTTTCTTCTACATACTTGTTTAGCAATAGATTCTTGGTTGATTCATTCATAGAGTTCATCGTTGTTAACTGTTTCTGGCCGGAAATCCGATATGCAGCCAGTGAAGCCAGCTGTTCGTTCATAGAAGTCTGCAGTAGCCTGTTGGAATTATTTTCGTGATTCGTCAGTCAAGTTTATGACTCATATAAAAGAACAGACGTCTTCATCACTGCTGTCGCCTGTAGTTGAAATGATGCTTCCTTACCGGATAAGTAAAAAAAGTGACTTCACTTATCTAGGAAGTATTGTCCCAACTACAGGAAGTCGGAACGGACGAGGATGTCCAATCGAACGAGAATCGGGAAGGCGAGAAACACACACATTGATCAACCAACTGAAATCAATCTGGAAATCTTCGTCACTCAGCCAGCATCAACAACAAAATTCAGTCGGATTTTCAATACAAACCACTTCAAGTCAGTCAGTTCTTCTATACGCATCAGAAACTTGGCGGGCGGGTCACAAAGAATATTTCCAACAGCCTGTTCCATGCAGACCTTCATCAACCAACATCTGTCTTCGCTGGATCTATACTGAAGATCAGATGGCCGGCCGGGCCGGAAAGAATCACCAACAAGAAACTATGGGAACAAACAAACCAAGAACCGATCGCCAACCACCAAAATATGCAGGAGAAGGTGGAGATGGATTGGACACTCGCTGAGGAGACCGCCGCTGGGTGACGTCGCACGCGGGTCAGGCCATTGCCTGAGTGGAACCCGACAGAAAGGGAAGCGGCGTATGGGACGTCAGTGCAAGTGTGACATGAAAGAGATAGTGTTAAGAGGAGTTGAAACAGTATGGACTAACATGGATGGGTGCAGGTGAAAAGTACAGCAGGAGGAAGACAGAAGTGGCAAGTGGAGACGTGCAGTTGAAGCCGCATGTTCCACTAGGAACCCAAGGGAACAATAATAATAATAATTTCAATATAACCTGTAGTCCGTCAAAATTTAAAGGAGTCTTCTGACATATTCAGTAATATTTCAATAATTCTGATAGGCTTATATTGAAACCAATTGCATGAGAACTGTAAAAGTATGTAAATATTTCCTTCTTAACAGGGATGATTATTCTAAACTGTAAGCAATGCTTTGGTGATTTACTAGTAAACAGCTCGAGTTCATCGCTGTACCTACGCATTCCTAAACCTCGATTAGCCGGAAGCGAACCCATCAAGGAGGACTGGGAGGACGAAAGGGAGAAGCAAACTTCACCGCTAATGAAACCTTAAAACTTGATTCTCTTTGTTTTATTAGGGACATCCAGGAATGTGAAACGTCTTCAGCAGCTAGTAAAAACTCAGTGAAAGTATACCAAACACCGAAAATCTAGACTGAATTAGAATATCCTGTGTTATATCTTTTCTTGGGTATCAAATTCAGCTGTGGTAAGATTGATGCGTTTATTTTCAGCCCCCAGATTCCTTCCCTTGTGATCTCTTCATTTTCCATTGTATTTCTATAATTTCACTTCGACAATATTTCCAATTTTATCTAGTAGTATGTTCTGAACACCGGTCCACCCCATCGTCCCTTACGGTTGTGAGATAGTCATTAAAAAGTGAATGATATAAAATGGCTAGTCGTCTAGAACGATAGGCGTCTGCGTTGACTCTCGCTTGTTAGGTGGTATAATATGGTCAAAAATTTCGAGATAAGGCATGAAGCGTTATTTAAGTAAGCAAAGTCAACTGGTGTAGTTACGAAGCTGCGTCGATTGAGATATCTAGAACACGTGTTAGGTAGTGCCAAACCATCATCTCCTCCACTAATATTGAATCAGGTTCGAAAAGTGTTAGAGGTGGTCTTGCTGAAATATGGAGTCAATCCATGGAGTCCTTCTTCATCGTTCGTTTGACCTAGGTAAGGAAGTGTACACTAATGTGCTGGACTCACCGTGACCCAGTGACTGGAGACTATTGGCGGGCGATACAGCTCAGCAGTCATTAGTTTTCACCTTACCCATCCATTATATCCTTATTACGCTTCATGGAAATATTCTTTCCCCCAGTTAGATTTGAGTTTGTCATAGTTTCCCTTATTTCTTTTCGTTTCTCCACGTCTATATGTAATTTAGTTAAGTGTAGTGACTTGAACCACTGCTGGTTTGTGCTTCTGTTATCCGCTAATTGTTGTGTCATTTTGACACGCACCGTCTTGTCCATAACAACAGTTTTATTCCTCCATTACGCTGTAATATCTCAATTGTTTCTTCAGATGCATGTGACTTAAAAGCCTCTCTCTCCTCAGTCTACTAATTATAGCTTGATCTTTTTTTTGACTGAAAGGGCATTATGCTGTCGTCCTCCTATGAGTCCTGAGGATTTCGTTGAAGATTCTGGGGAGGTGTAGACGCCTAGTTTATATTTGCGTCTCTAATCGATTTTAGAGTAAATTTTTCTTTGATGTGGATAGTGATATTTTTGAAATCTTTGTCAACTGCTTTTCTTTCCCTCCCTTCCTTCCTTCGTCCCTCCTCAAATGGCTTTGAAAGTGTGATCAAATTTATCACAAATATTCATGTGTTGGTTTGCGGGGATTTCACTGATCACATGATATCATCATGAGATGACAATGGTTACAGAACCATCAGAAAAACTGGGAGTACTGGACAGCTGTTTGGTCCTAGTTTGGGACTCTTCATCAGTACGCACCCACCGGCTTTCGAACCCGGTGGTTTACGAGCTCGCAAAGTAACCTGAAGGTCCTGAGTTCGAATCCCAGCGTGCGCGTGTTGATGAAGAGTCCCAAACTAGGACGAGACAGATGTCCAATACTTTCAGTTGGTTTTCAGATGGTCCCCTAACTGGTGTCAGCTCGTTGTCAGTTCTGTATTCAAGTCTAAAAACCACTTCAAACACGCTGTGTATCACCGACCTTAAGCAGTTGTCCCTTGGGCTCTGAAGTCATGCAACACTATCCCTTCCCCTACGTCAGATACTCCAAGAAGACACGCTGATGATAGTAACGACAAAGTTGAACTAGAATCACTCGTTTATTTATGTAAACATAGAATAGAGATTTGACATAAATGAATAACTACCTGACTGATTGACTGACTGACTGAATAAATATATAAAACAACCCTTAAAGTCAAGTGTGCAAAAGATAAATTGAAAAGTTCAACAACAACAAAAACTATACTAAAAACACTAAAATCAAAACCTGTCTGCACTTTAACTTGTCCTCATCCTACAATTGCTACAAAATTAATCAATAAACTTACTGATCAATACAAATCATCGGTCTGAGTTAATAAACTACCACTATTACTACGCCTACTAATAATAATACTTATCAAAATATAGAAAACTGATCTTCCTTACTCGAACTAAACAAAAGTTAGTTGTCACTGTGGTTTAAAAGGCAGGAACTCAAAAAAGAAAACATGCTAATTTAGAACACCCAATGATTTTTATTCTTTCAGTATTCAATATTCAATGTCCTATGAATAACACAATATGATAATGTTGTTGTTTAAATCAACAGAAAGTCGCCATAATAAATTAATAAGGTTGATACATATACCTCCAGTAGTACACTGTTAGTTCTGACTTTGGACACAAGTAGAAGTTAAAAGACAAAAACCCTAGTTCAAAAAATTGCTTTATATTTGTTTTCTTCGTACGCATCGGGATAGTTCCAATCTGAGTAACTAAATCACCACTAACATCTGATAGAATCCGGACACTAAACTGCACCCCAAACAAACTTCAAAGTCTTCTACAGAGTAAGAAGTAGTCTTTCTAAAGGTGTATGAATCAGACTTCTTCAAACTGCAGAAGCAATGGTTATTCACTTGCTAAGTCTTGAACTCTGCATACAGAAGAAGTTCGTTCAATCACTACACTTGCAATGGACATAATCTATCTTATTACCCAACAAGTGAATTCTACCTAATCCCTTTTTTTCTTCTGTCTCTTCATTAGTATTATTTTGTCTTCTCAAATGTAATATTTTACATTTTCAACCTTCTTGTTCTCTACCCCCATCTGATTTAATATCTACACCTCACTACCACATGGTTACTGACTTGATCAACGCTCAATTTCTAGTCATTTATGTTACGTCATCCAACTTATTTACTCAATTTCAGTTGTCATTTAAGTGGTATTATTCTCCACCCCACTTCTACTTAGTCTCCACCTGTAATTACCTCTGTTGCTACCCTGACCTAAGTTGAAACATTTTAGTCAATTATATTAAGTCGTCTAACTTGCTAACTCAATCTTACTGTAGTAGCTGTCTAATTATAACCTTGTTTCTATACTAGATCATTCTTGTATTACCTGATCAATTATCTAGACTTGACAAACCTCATGTGAACACACGCAAACAAATAACTATACATAAATGGGATTGTACAACTATGTGAATGAATTCGCCGGCGAAAAGAGTCTCTTCGCTGAACGTCTTCTCTTTTTCATACTAAGATTATGATGAACTGCTTTAAGGATTGATCAGCTGGTAATAACCAACTCGTTAACACTTATTTATTCCGTTGAAATAGATAGATAAACTGCTTACACAATGAAGACTTTAGAAGAAATGAAATGACTTGCATACAAGAAAATAATTATCACTGACTGACTGAATGGTTTCAGCATAGAACTTTGTACAGATGGGTAACAGTTCAAGTAGCCGCTCTCCCTCCATGTAGCACACAAGTCAAGAGAGGAGAATAGACAGAGAGATTCGAATGAAAGATAAGAAACAATAGTGTGAGGGATAAAGAATAGTAATATGGAGGAACAATAGAGTTTTATTGGATATGACAAATTATCTGCACCAGCCATTGAGAAGGGTTTTGAGTCATATGATCGATTCTCTCTAGTCACTGCTTTTTACCATCCCGAGGATCCCAAACCAGACAGAAGTCTACACTTCCCTGCACGGCTGGCTTAAACTAACTGCTGTAGATTTCATTGACTGATGAAGCCATGTTTTCCTTTCACCACCACTCACCACTAGCTCTTTTCCAACCTGATCCATCCTATATCAGTGGGTAACATTTCTCGTCAAGAAAGGTGACGGCTAGGCATGGGTACCACATGTCCTAACCGCCTCAGTCGATGTAACTTCACAACCTCGTCGACTGATTTTCCCTTTTTAACTAGCACTCAACCAAAGCCTAACCCCAATATTGCTCACTTTATGATACCACTCAACACAGGAGATAGAACGTAGACACCAGTGATTAAAGAGAGCTAGCTAGTCAGGCTTTTCAGTGACCATGTCTCACAGCTAGCCATGTAGGAGGACAGAGCGAAGTGTTGATCAGCACGCACTTGTGAGTCGGTGGTACAGTGGTTAGGACTCTCGCCGACCATGCACATGGTCCAAGGTTCGATCCCCTGCCGACGAAGCACACCTGATATCTATGGTCGGCCTGCAAAAATTTGGGCTACCGATATCACGTGCTGAGAATTCCATACTTGTACCAAAAATACAGTGTGGAATCAAGCTGTAATCAAAAATAAATAAAATATATAATTCCTTTGGTCGACAGCCGGATATCCTGTCTAAGCCATAGATGGCGTAAGTTGGCTAATAAAAATGCCTTCTGTATCCGTGTTAAGATTTCGTCAGCTATCAACCCTCTGGTACTGGCTGACGCGACTTCCCAAAGAAGTGAGGTGATCAACATATTACACTAACCACTTCATTCGCTATCTTTTAGATAGGAGTGAGGGATTCTCTGTATTCCAGCCCTGTAGTACCATCTTACATCTGACAGGAGCTAGTGAATCACATGCCAAACATTTGAAGGTTACTGCTGCTGCTGAAGGTGTTCAGAAGACTGCATTTTGCTAGCTTCTTCAACTAAAAGGACTATGTACTTTGCATATTCTTTGAAAACAAGATTCTACTCCGGTAACAAGTCTATCCGTAAGTCACTGATGTCAGTTAGGGTTAAGTCCATTAGTACATCTATGAAGGAATTAAAGAGAAATACGGACAGTGGGTATCCCTGACGGACACTACTTGGTATTCATCACTTCAGATGACAACACTCCATAGGCTGTCATCTGGCTGACTGCATGAGTTCGAATAAAGTGTCTTGATCAGTGCGATGTATTTTCTCGGCGTCCGTTTCACAGCCAAACATCGCCATAGTACCTCTCGGTCGACGGAATCGAATGCTGCGTTAAGGTAAAGAAATATGACGATTGTTGGACGCCAGTAAGTATGGCTATTTCTTAGAATCTGTCGAAGGGTGAAGATATGATCAATACATCCCCTTCATGGTCTAAAGCCCACCCAATTTTCTCGTGTTTGTTTATCCGAGCATCATTTAATCGATGAATGGTTATTAAGCCTAGAACTTTATATACCATATTGCTCAAGCTAATCCCCTTATGATTATCACAGGAAGACTTGTCTCTCTTCTTGTATACCTGGAAAATCAATGACTTACACCACCCCTATGGGACTATCACTAATTCCTAGACTTTGCCTAATACCTTAGTTATCTGAGATAATAGACTGTCTGCACGGTCCTTAACCACATCTGGAGTCATTCAATCAGGTCCCTCTGCTTTGGCTCGTTTCAGTTTAGAGACAACCTTTATAACCTTATTTCAGGACGGGACCCGGTGCTTATATCTCATTCAGGGAAGTATTAGAAAAGAACTATAAGAACTGACAATTAATATCAGTAAACCGAAATAACTAAGGCTAGACAAAATAATAGCTATTCAAACTGCCACATATCTCATAAAACTAAGCACAAAGGTAGGAAACCAAATAACTGTGAAGACACTGTAATAAACGTAACTTTATATAAGAAAGTTTAGTGGGTCTGTCCAGAATATTAAACATCACAACGCGAGTGAATACATCTTTGCCATTACCAGCAAATTCGAGTTATATCATCACTAACGGTTTCCAAGGATTTGTAAACTAACAACAAAATTAAACAACCAACTTTTCAAAACCTAAATTATTCCCTTTTACTTCACCAGTTTAATTATAATCCTTGAATTAAATGCAGGGATATGTGTGTTAGTTTGCAATGATTAAGCAGTTACACATCATATATTTAGAGGTTATTTTGTAGGTGTTGATTCACATTGGAATCCAAAATGTGTGCCACATCCTTAATTTGGGATTCGTCCACCGGATGTATCTGGTTACGACAGTTAAAACTTGTACAACAGTTATCAGTCTTCATTTGAACAAAGCAAGAACAACAATTGTACCAGAATAATGAATATGAGCTCATCTTTTATTATTTAATCGAGGATTCTTCTCAACTGGTTACAACCCGAACGAGAAAAACAAAAAATATGAATCACATTAAAGATTTGAACATACTTTTCCACGATCACAAGGAGTAATTGGTTGGTGGGAAGTAAAAGTAACATTAGTCCGGAATGATTTAACTAATTAAGAGTTACAAACACTGACTATTTATACAATAATTAGACAATCAGGCTTGGAAACAAAAACAGAGTTGCGTATTTATATATATACATATGTATAGAAACAATGTTAAGCTAGAAATAGCATAACAACAAAGTAGATTACGTAACTAAAGAAAATGTTTTATCTAGTAGCCAATAGAAAAAAGGAAAGAAGAGAAACAAGGTAGGGTGAGTCATGTTTAGATGAGAGAGAGTAGAGTTTTCTAAACATGAAAAAGGGTGGCTCATAAAAGTTGTATATTTTTTGTTATCACCAGGGCAGTACAAGATTCACCACTGTCTCTTTCTGTCGATTGATAGCAATTACTTCAACAAAGCGTAGCAAGCTAGGTTACTTTTGCTTGTTGATTATTTTGAACGACTTCAGGTTGTCTACACTATGACCAGTATCCAATAGATGACGAGCAATAGCACTGTTTAATGCTTGCGGACCTTTCAGTCCCAGGTTCTTTGGTATGTGTTCAGAAATGCGGACAATAACCCTTCACTCTGTTCTTCTAATGTATGCGCTTTGGCACGCACATGTAAATTGGTAGACACAATTGGAGGTAATATAAGGTGGTTATTTGTCCACTTTTGATTGTCTCAAACAACTAGTTGTTTGATAAACACACATACAAGCTTGGCGGCTGGATATGTTCTTTTCAGGGCAGCGTTCAGTCTGCATCTTATTCTACTAGCAGTATCATCACTCCTGAATGCAAGCTGCAGAAAGATAGGCGTTTTCTCTACTGTGCTGCTTTTCACTTTTTCAACATGACATCTCCCATACTTGTCGATGAACTTTTGCTATCAAATGACTTAAACCAAATCTATGTACGCAGAAAGAGACAGTGGTGAATCTTGTACTGCCCTGGTGATAACAAAAAATATACAACTTTCATGAGTCACCTTTTTCATGTTTAGAAAACTCTACTCTCTCTCATCTAAACATGACTCACCCTACCTTGTTTCTTTTCTTTCTTTTTTCTATTGGCTACTAGATAAAACATTTTCTTTAGTTACGTAATCTACTTTGTTGTTATGCTATTTCTAGCTTAACCTTGTTTCTATACATATATATATATATATATAAATACGCAACTCTGTTTTTGTTTCCAAGCCTAATTGTCTAATTATTCTATAAATAGTCAGTGTTTATAACTCTTAATTGGTTAAATCATTCCGGACTAATGTTACTTTTACTTCCTACCAACCAATTAATCCTTGTGATCGTGGAAAAGCATGTTCAAATCTTTAATGTGTTTCATATTTTTTGTTTATCGTTCGGGTTGTAACCAGTTGAGAAGAATCCTCGATTAAATAATAAAAGATGAGCTCATATTCATTATTCTGGTACAATTGTTGTTCTTGCTTTATTTTAGTTTATTAACGGGAAAAATTGCAATCTTTACTTATCTGTTGAAATTATTATTCATGAATTTCTTGTAGATCGATTTTTTCAAGGGGAATGGGATCAAAATACACTGGTCTATGTTGACATTCTGTCTTTTTTTTAAAGGAGTTTTCAACAATGCCTTAAGCTAAACATGACATCATTCGCTTAAAAACAGTGAGCGGTGGTAATTTAAAACTTATCAGCTAGATATATTTACATTCCAGTTAACCTAATGACATTGTAAGAGCATCTATACAAGGGGTTGAACACTGTCAACAGATGAGGAGAATTTTGGTGGAATAAAATCAGTTAGAAGGTGATTTAGCATAAGTTCAGTCGATATTTCACTCATTATCACCAATAGAGACATTTATGATGAAAAATACTTACTTAGATGGTGATTTCGACAAAGGTGATGTTGAACGCTGATAATTCAATGATTTAGACATTCTTTTATCTGTCAGTTCACTTAACATAAAAAACTTGTCAACAGCATTTTCATCATCGATTCTAGTTTCATTATTAGTGTTATTATTATTATTATTATTATTGAGGTTCTCATCTTGTAACTCAATATTTGTGATATTTGAATTTTCATGTATTTCATTGTTTGACTTTACTATCAAAGATGACAGTGTTACTTTCGGTGACAGAGCAAAATCTAAACGTGAAGTTATCTCACCATCACAAAATTCATACGAATCACTCCTGAAAAGAAAGAAGAACAGAAAATGAAACTCGCCCCCCCCCTCAAAGAAAACCAAGATTATGTTAGTGTGAAAGACCATCAGTCTTATTAATTGAATAATAAATTATGATCTTTCATAAACTTGTTAAAGTTCAACCTATGACTAATTATTATTATTATTATAGCAAAAATATTCATTCAGACATCTATGAAACACAAAATAATTGAGCAAAGAATATCCTTTTCGATAAATTCCTCTTCTGGCTCTACAATTATATATATGTATATGTATATATATATATACATAAGTATAGCGCAAGGCTCAGCGAAGCATAGACTACTGTTGAGTAGAGTGGTTTTGAAGACACAGCTGAATTACGCTGTTTCTTCAAAACCGCTCCTCTTTTGCGTTCGGGAGTAAAACTTCAAATGCCTAATTTCGCCTTTTCCATATATATCTCCCATTTTAACTGCTCCTGTGGAGCCAGTTACATAGGTCGTACAATTAGGCCGTGTTTCCCGTCGCATTTTCGAACATCACCCTGCGTGGTTAAGCAAAGGATAAACAAAATCTATTCTCAGTGCTATTATTTCTCATCTTGTGTACACAGAACACGAGACTGACGTTAACCATGCTTTCAGGGTTATTTACCGCATACCTACGAATCTCAATTTCGCCTTAAGAATTCGACTACTAAATATTGCTGAGGCTCTCTGTTGAGATCCATATTAACAAGCCTAATTTATGCATCCAAAAGAAGTTAGTTCAGGCATTATCATTACCTTGGCCATCTAGGTTTGAATGATCCTGAATTTTTGTAGAAATTTCCTAATTTTAGTTGATATTCTATTTGTTTTTTTATTCTTTCACGTTCCCAGTGGAACATAGGGCTTCAAGCTAGAAGCTTGAAGTTTTTGTAGCAGCGTTTGTTTTTACAAGATGGGTTTGCTAGCCTGTCTCATGCCGAACCTTTCATCTTTACCAACTTTTGTTTCTAGGTTAGACAGGTTCAGAAGTGTGTCGGCTGGGGATCGAACCCCGGTCCATGTGCATCGTCGGCGAGCGTCCTAACCGCTATGCCACCGACGTACTTATTCTATTTGCTACTATAACTTTATTATTATTATTGTTGTAATTTAAGGATTTTTAATGAACTGTAATTCCATCGTGATCTTACTTTACAAATCGACATTATTTAAAAAGCACTAATACTGTTAAAACGATCAGTCCCTTCGATAAATTTGAACAAGGCATTAAGAAGACAAATTTCGCGAGATGATATCATTTCGTAGTTTCTTTACAACCGCTTCACAACTAACATGGTTAACAATGATAAAATAAAGTTCATGAAAATTACTCAGTTATGTAAAAAACAAAAGTACATACTAATGACCAATCATATTTAGATAGGTCATGTAGTCCAGGGTAGGCGAAGATTGAAGTCTATTGATTTTTGTACACACAGTTTAAGCTGTATGTGATTAATCCAAAGTGCTTCCATCACCTTCAGTCACCAACCTTGAATTAAAGTTATGTGAAATAATTGTGAAACAGTCATTAATATTTATTTTGTGACCTGACATTAATAAGTGTTTTGCAATGAATAATGATGCTGGATTTCTCTTCAGATTAATCACATTGGGATTTTCGATATGATTTAGTAGCCATTTTGGAATATGTTCTTTTCGACGACATTGGAACATTCTGTTAGTTCTACCTATATGGTGTGTGTCACCGCAACAACTGCAGGTGAACTTGTAGATACAGTTTGAAGTAGAGTCCACAGAATTTCGTCCTTTAATCATAGGTGGGTACAGGGATTGAAAATGTCCGGCAAGTGAGAAAAAGAGATGTGGCGTCGTAGAATGTGCATTTGATGGCTGATCGAAGTCTTTGAGTTGTCAACTGCATAATCTGGTCGCCCTTGAATGATAGATTAATAAAGATGGCTTTCTTTGGTACAGAAGCTGTCTTTTCCAGGTGTGGTTTTTCTTTGCTGTGACAAGTGATAAAGTTTTCCGGATAACCATTAGCTAATAAAACTGAATGTAAATGTCGAAGCTCATCCATCAGTGTGTCACTCCAGCATCATCCATTGCAAAACACTTATTAATGTCAGGTCACAAAATCAATATTAATGACTGTTTCACAATTATTTCACATAACTCTAATTCAAAGTTGGTGACTGAAGGTGATGGAAGTACTTTGGGGGCATTAATCACATACAGCCTAAACTGTGTGTACAAAAATCAATAGACTTCAATCTTCGCCTACCCTTGACTGCATGACCTATCTTAATATGATTGGTCATTAGTATGTACTTTTGTTCTTATTTAACTGAGTAATTTTCATGAACTTTATTTTATTATTGTTAACCATGTTAGCAGTTGTCAAGCGGTTGTAAAGAAACTACGAAATGACGATATCATCTCGCGAAATCAGTCTACTAATATTGTTATTGACTACTAATCTAGAATATTCTATGTATATAAACATGTATATAATTGTAGAGCCAGAAGAGGAAATTATCGCAAAGGATCTTTTTTGCCCAATTATTTTGTGTTCAATTATTATTATTATTTTTCCCTTAGGTTCCAAGTGAAACGTATGGCTTCGATAGCACACCTCCACTTTGTCCGATTTTCTATGATCCACTTTTTCTGGCCCTATGATTATCCACAATCTCTAATCTCCTTCATCTTACTCCAGGGATCAGAAGCTCAATTTGTTGTTTCCCACTCGGGTTCCAATAGGAAGATAGCATACAGCATGATGTTATTCGATGGTGCCCTAGCCACCTTCATTTTCCTCTCCCTATTTATTGAGCAACAGGTTTTTAGTTGGTTAGTTCCCATTTGATCTTCAGTAAAGCTAGTTGTTGATAAAATTCTGAAGCAGACTGTCAGAAATGCTTTATGTGATGTGACTCATGCAGAAGAACAGATCTTACATTCGTGCTGAAAATCCGCAGAGTGCAGAAAATTTCCAAACTAATTTCAGAATGATGAAGGTCTCTCTCTTGCTTCTCCGATCCAGTCTGGTTTTGACACCCTCAACCGTGCTGTCGACTGTGGTTGATACGATGCTTCCTCGTTGGATAAGTTGATGGTGATTGGTGCCGGTTGTTGTTGTTGTTGTTGTTGATGGTTATCTTCATCATCTCCCTTTGCTCTACGTTCTATTGAAGTTCTCGCCTAGTCCACTATCTCGCTAGTCTTCTAGCCTGTCCCAAGGCCGAGGAAAGAGGGAGGGCTGTGTGAAGCGCTAGAATCCCTATCCCAGAAAACCAATCCAATCGCTACAAAGGATTAGAGAGGTTTCGTGTGCATTTCGGATTGTCAGGGCGATTGTTACTTCCCGGCTGCCCACACCGTGGAAGTTGGTTGCGTGACCGCAGAGTCCAGGGGACAACTGCTTGAGGCCGGTCACATGCGGCCTGTTTTTGTTTGTTCTCTTTTGTTTGGTGTGTCTCAGTAGCATACTTATCACTCCTGCCCTGTGACACGGCAGCAGGAAGCGCGGTCGTTGTTAATCTGGGCCACGGCCGATCCGGCATGCAATTTTGTGAATTTGTTTGAATCATGGTATTGGATGGGATAGCTGCTTTTTGTTTAACCGCTATCCAAACAACCTGCCTGGCATGGTAGAACCTCAAGAGACATAAGTCTCAGCCAGTATAGCTTGATTAGGTCATTGCGGTGTTCAAGCCCGACCACCACGTCAAGGTAGCAGCTTTCGGTAGCAGCAATCGCTACAAAAACTTCAAAGTATAAGAAAATTGGTAACTCATTATGAATATTAATATTTTAATATCCTCGCAGTAAATTTTTAAAACTATCCTTGCAAAAGATTATTATAAATTAGACTCTGTAAGGAAGCTGATATTATACAATCAGCACGTGTTGGATTCAAGGTAATTTAAATCTCTGAGAAATAAACATGTGAGATTTTGTTGTCTGTTTGTGTTCAGCTACCTGGAACAGATTTCTCGTGTAACAGACGAAGTGGCATACCGAATATATCAGAGCTGATGATACTACCCATTAGCTTAGGCTGAATTAGACGAAGGCGGAAGTGTGATCCTGGTGGGATCCACTGACGGAAACTTGAACGCTTAAGTCAATGAGTCATATCTTCACATATTTTGTTGATTGGATCAATTTGTCTTCTGTTCGTCCGTTAATCCACGAAAAACCTTAGCATAACTTGGTTTGAATTACAGGGAAATATTTCTGAATGGTGGATTTCATAATTCCCTTAAAACCTTCATTTGATGTTTATTCAGGCAATGAAAATCACTCAACCATTTTCTAATCACGAAAGCTCTCATCAAGGCTACTGGTTTATATTCATTTTACAATGATTTACAAATATCCAAGTTGCAGAAAGTCTAGGAATCATTTCATTTGTCAAATTTAATATGTTTTTAGCAAATTTCCTGATTTAAAGATATATATATATATATATATATATATAAAATACTAAAGTGAAATCGAATTTCAATGCACGTCTTTGCACAAACCTGTAACAAATCAATTTACTTCACTCCTTAAAAGCATACATAAAAGTGAAGGAACAAAGAAATTCAGAAAAAGCTACAATGAAGAGGAATTCGCCGAAGAATGAACGGTTACAGACACAACGATGAGGATATGATAGACCTCAGGAGATCACTAAGAGTGAATACATCTACACTACTGGAGCCGACTTTGAACCGAGTCACCAACAGTCTACAGTCATTGGTTCATGGAGTTTCTTGAGTCTCGGTCAGACAGGCTTCATTTCTCTACGTGGCACAAACTAACAATGAAGGACCTAATGGATTGATTTCATGTTTTCACATGACTACCCGTTACTCTTTTCAACAACTTAATTGTATCGCAGCCAGCATTGATCGACGACGATGGTGGTAGTTTAGCATCCCTCACACAGCCTAGTCTTCTCAACCGATAAGGCTTCAAAACCACATTAAATAAACTCTACTCTACTCCTTATTGAACGCTAAACGTCTTACGCCAAGTCAATATTACCAATCATATCATAGGACCTAACACGAGAGGTGGAATGCAAACGCTTACTGTCAAATACAATATCACATTTAAATATGCACCTGTAGTCTGTTATAATAACGACATCTGTTTCTTTTAGGAGCATAGTACATTTTGCTAATATAGTTAAGCATGATGCATTTAGAAGTTTAAACGGATTACTGCTCGATTTTGTTGGAAAGTAGCAGATTTAAATGCATCATGCCTAACTATATTAGCAAAATGTACTATGCTCCTAAAAGAAACAGATGTCGTTATTATAACAGACTACAGGTGCATATTTAAATGTGATATTGTATTTGACAGTAAGCGTTTGCATTCCACCTCTCGTGTTAGGTCCTATGATATGATTGGTAATATTGACTTGGCGTAAGACGTTTAGCGTTCAATAAGGAGTAGAGTAGAGTTTATTTAATGTGGTTTTGAAGCCTTATCGGTTGAGAAGACTAGGCTGTTTGTCTTTTGCCAATAAAAAGAGTAAGGGGTGGTCGTGTGAAAACATGGAGTCAATCCATAAGGTCCTTCACTGTTGGTTTGTGCCACGTAGAGAAGTGAAACCTGTCTGACTGAGACTCAAGAAACTCCATGAACCAATGACTGTAGACTGTTGGTGATTCGGTTGAAAGTTGGCTCCAGTGGTGTAGATGTATTCACTCTTCGTGATCTTCTAAGGTCTATCATATCCTTATCGTTCTCTTTGTAACCGTTCATTCTCTGGCGAATTTCTGTTCATTATAGTTTGTCTTCATCTACTGTTTTCTTCCTTATAAGGCGACTTGACTTTGAGGAGTGAATTAAAATTGAATTGTTGCAGGTTTTTGCAAAGTTGTACGTTGAGAATTCGATTTCACTTGAGTATTTTATACATGCTTAAATAAAGGAATTCACCGTAAGCAAGTTAAATTTATCAAATCAAACGATTCTTAAATATATAGAATATGGTAAAAGATACAGCACTTCCATCTAGTCTATAGTTTTAAACTCAGATAGTCTTATCAATGTTCACCCAACCTTTGCTCCGTATAAAAGATAGCCTACGCATCCAGTTATTTTCATGTATATTTAGGAGTTCATGTCATTGTTCCTTTTGACAATATTCATCACTATTATCTAGTTTTCTCCTTTATCAATATTTTTACTTCGAGTTCGCTAAGCTGCACTTACACGTTGGGTAAAGGAATGATCAGGGTTAACTGAGAAAAGCAAGTTAAATAGGTGCTAACTTTAAGGACTTTCTAGAGGTTGACATCGGTACTTACAAATTCTTTACTCAAATAGTGGAGCAGTCCTGCTCCTATCTAGGCAACTGGTAAGCATGTCATCTTTACAGGACTAAATAATGACAAAGACGTGGTGTTTGGTAACGAGATATGCAGATTAAAAGAAGAGAAATAACTACTTTTGTCTGTATCATTAACGGAAACAGACAAAGTCCGACAGAATGACTGGAACAATAATTGAAATTTGAAATTTCACCAATTTTAGGCCTGCTGAATGAAACTAATTGAAGAGAGAGTAAAATCTCGGCCTTTTTATTTCTTGTGAAGTTAAAAAGTGATGTATGCTCCTCATGTTACATTTCTAAGAAAGAGGTGAGAAAAGTACAAACCTTTTACAAAACATTAAAACTTATTGGAAATGGTATATGCTTTATTTTATGACCTAATCTAGAGTTGTTTCAGTGAATTTCACTTCACAAAATTTTCTTTTAGTTTTAATCTCATTTCATTTTGTCAGTTTGTTACATCTTTTGATTTTCTGAGATATTTGTAGTTGCCGCCTGAGGTATGAGTGAACTATTGACGAAACTTTATCTTTTTATACTTTAAAAGTGATAATAGAACAGTTTCTATGAGTGGCACAAACAAAAGTGCACTGTGTGCCGACAGCTTCCATTCAGTGAAAGATTATGGTGAGAGAAATTAAATATCTTACACCGCCTTAAATTAACATGTGGTCTAGTGAAAATTTAGATAAATGTGAATATAGATTACTAAGTCAAAGTCCCTTGCAGTTTCCAGCCATTGTTTGAGAAACATACAGTCAAAACACAAATAGTTTCCTATTCTTACATGTGTCATGTTAGGTTACTAACTCATGACACAAATTTTATTTGAACTCTAAACATGAATTATGATCAAAAGCTTCGTGTGTAATTGAGTTAATAAATTTACCATAGGCGTCTTTTGTTTACTCTACGGGTAGCATGTATAATAATGAAATACTAAATTCTACATGCGATTCGACAATGAAACTGCATTCACACTCAATTTAACTATACTCCTAGGACAAAGTTGTATATTTCAATTATTTTTTATTCATGCATCATGTGAGCGAATTGTTATCGTCACCAAGTTTTTTAGAAGCAAAGGGTAGACATTAGCACAACAAAGTGACCAATTACTAGTCCTGAAACAACTGCCCAGCAATACACCTCTCCTAAGACTTAACGTAAACCCCAAAGTCTCTAGACCTATATCTTGTACTGATCTGTTTTGACCTGGAGATGCGTGATATTTTTAAACTCTTCTACAAAAAGGAAAATGTAATTCCTTATAAACATATCGCAATAAAATTGCTTACGTGTCAGTCTCCAGGCATTTCGGTCGCTCACTTTTAATGTCTCGTTCATCATTAGTCATAACTTCTTTGTCAGGCATGAAAAGATTGAGACGTTCTTCTTCCAGTTCTAAAATGCTCTTGAACCTGGTTATTTCCTTCAAAACGTTGTTTTCATTACTATGAGCGTATTCAACTTCTGAGGCACTCGAAGTGATTATAGCCTCTAAATCTTGAATCTTTTTCTCATAAATACTTCTTAAACGGCCATTCTCTCTGCTTAAACTGTCGAGAGAATTTCGTAGAAGTTCACTTTGATGTTCAGTACTCTGAACCTAACAGCATATAAAAATATTATATTGGACAAACTTTGGAATTGAGATCAGCGATTTGTTGTTGGAAATTTAACATTTTATGATCATTTTCCAAACTTTTCGTTTTGAGCAGTTTATTTTCTTTTCTCTCCAACAATAGCTGACTTTGTAAAGTTGTTATCTGAAAAAGTTAGTTTCTTGATAAATTTAAAGTCATAAAAAGTGCACAAGCAAATCTACAGCAGCTAAAAACTACAAGCAAAGCCTACAGATTTTTTGTATGTGTCTGCGATCTTTTGACGATAACGAGTTATTTCATTCTGAGCTTTTTCATATAGTTTAGAAACTACAGTGGGAATAGAGGCCTCTTTCCTTCGAGCCTCTTCAATTTGTAAGTCTTTCGCCGCGAATTGGGAAATGTACCACTGTATTCGATGCTGACTTCGGCTTAAACGCTACAAAATAAATAGGTTGCATCATGAGAGCAGGAAAATTATCATTGGAATAAAGATAAAATCAAACATACCTCCTTAGCAAACTTCTCCTGAGAGTTTAATTTCAGCAAAGCACTTTGGAGCTGATTAGCAGTGGAAGTATGAAGATCTTCTGATAATGAAAGCCTTCAATTTAACATGAGTAAAGATAGTTAATACTTCTGTTTAAGTAAGTCAATCTCTTCCGTAAGCTTTAGTCTTGTTAACTCATCATCACCACTTGACATTTGTAACTCTTGCAGACGCATTTTTAACGCTTCGTTTTCTTTAGCTTTTTCATTGACCTCGGATTTAAGAGCACTTATGTCAAGAAGAAGCTTAGCATTTTTAGACGACTCAATGGATATCCTGCAACTCTGAATAACTCATAAGAAAGCTCAAAACCTGTCCATGAAATGATTGTCATTTTCTTTCCTTGCCAGGAGCTCGTCTTCTAAGTCCCTTTTTTCATCCATTAGGATGCTCAGAGTAGTAGTTAAGTGATTTATCTGACATTCGTATGAGGTCCGTAGTAGTTTAAGGTCTTCTTCTAAACTGTTTATCGACTTATTAAGAGCATTCATATCTTCTTCATTCTTAAGTTGCTTAACACGATGAACATAAGCTGTAAATCGTTCATTTAGCCGTCTAAGTTCTTCGGTGACATTGTCCATGGTATTTGTATTGCCACCGAGTTACTATCATAGAGTAATTGACACTTTCAAACAAAATGTGATAATCTAGCCATAATTCGCAGATCTTTTTACTGCATATTAGATATATTCAGAGTGACTGAAAAATTATTTGTGCATTTAACCGGGGTACTTTGAGTAACAATGAAACATCATGGGAAAATTTATTTCAAAATCACAGTCTACTGGTGCCGGAGGGTATTACTGACTACCCAGATTACTATTTTTGGTAGAGGAACATACATGGTAGAGCTTAAGAGAAAAGGGAAATGACGGACTTATAACTTTCGTTAACTAATACACAAGGTTGAACCACTAGAGCCACATGTGATAGTTAATGTTGGAAGCACACAGCTAGTGATTAAGGGACACAAGAAGACGATGTGAGTAGCCTGGTAGAAACTTTCGCTTCCCATGCTTCATACAGTTTCTAACCTCTGTTGAAACGTTTGAAATAATGACCACACTTCTGCATATCTGACAGGACTACCGAGCTGTAATCGTACACCAGAGTGCCTTCGATATGCCTGTCCAATACCAACCTCTGTGTTCTCACTTCATGAGCTATTTCAGTCGTTTAGCGTGTCATTATTTCAAAGTGATAGTGGAATTTTAAAAACTCCTACGTCACTTTGCGGCCAAGCAATGTTATACTATGCTCAAGCAACGATTAATTAAATGCCTCTTGATATCCGAAAAGGGACTCATACAGGGACTATTTCAAGGGGGGAGAGAATGTAATAGATTCCTACCGCAGTTCCTGACTACTTATGGCAACCAGTGAGATCCATCGTAGTGAGAAATGCTGTGATAAAACGAAGGTGGGTACAAGCACTCTCGAAGTGTCCTACATAGACTGGAATAAATTTTTGACGATTAATAAAGTGTTAGCAATTTGCACCGAATGTTCAACATCCTGGTAGCACTCTTAGGCAGGATATAGGTAACGTACATCTAATAGTGAGGAGAAAACGCTTAGCAGAGGGGCATGTAAACTATACACGTTCTGCTTATTACCCAACAATCTCGCAGTTCGTGGCCAGTATTCTGCTATTTGCAGAAACACTGCAATAAATACAGCTAGCGTGGTATAGTGGCAGCAAATATTCTGAAAGACAACGTTCTAAATCAAGAAAATCAGGTCGGAAAAAGGAAATTTCTCTTGCTATTACTGACGTTTCGGTGCACAATAGAGACAATACGCAAAACTGTGCGCCTGGCCCAATCATCTCAAAGCAACATCTAAACGACTAATCCCTTCTCAGTGGTAGTTGTCAGAAAAAAGGTACCGGACAGTCGTTCATTTTACTTCGAGATTAAGTGTTTAGTACAGAAGTTGTACTCAGTCCTATACAGAAAGAAAGACTTCCGGCTTGATCGTTAGCTGCCTTGAGCTTTTATTGCCACCGGACTAGACCTGACGGCTTAGACTTCGTATGAAGATCTAGCGTCCTAGTGGGTACCTGAAAGGGGTAATAGATGTCAATGTAACGTTAAGCCATAAGAAATGTTAACCAAGTGGTCACCAGGAACGTAGTGCAGGAAAACACTGCCAGTACACATTGAAAGACTACGGGGAATACTAGTTTTCATCCTTAAAGTCAACCATCCTCTAAATCTCCAAGGTTGATTCGAACATACTATAAAAACACAAAGACTCCTACATTTTGCGAAGTCAAGGATACTTGTCTCAGAATGACCAAAAATCACGAAGGCTAAACTCGTGCTCATGCACTGCTTGGGAATAATCCACCCATTGAAATAATTAATTGGCGTCACCACTGTGCTTGGTATCTAAGAAAAGTGAAATCGACTTCCGCATCAAAAAAGCAAACTGCGTGGGGCAGACACCTAGTGGCCCATATGTAGGATGTCACTGATTATCCATGTAGCACAAACTGACTTCGTCCGCGCCCATCACGACATCCTGATAGTTGAAAAATGCATTTCTAAAACAGCAACTTTCATCCTAGTGAGAATGTACGAGCTTTTGTTGATGTGATTCGGTCTCTGGAATGCTATACTAAAATTGCGAAGACTTTTGGACGACCTGCCATGTGAACTGCAGTCTTCCAAGGCTTCTATATATAGTCCACCCGCAGGCAGCCTGTATGTTAAGATCTATGATAGCCACGTTCGCGAAGTGTTATGAAGACACTTTATCTGGGCAGGTTCGCTATTTGAGCAGAAACGAGTGAACTCTTAAGCAAGTCCTACGCTAGTGGAATTAGGGTGCTCTACCTTCGGCTGAGAGTTTTTATCAGTATGCTTAGTCGTCAAACACTTATACCACGTGCAAAAAGACAGCCTATTTACTATTTTTGCTTCAGCTTACTATATGAAGAACGAGAAGTACCAAAAAATTTCAAGATTCGGCACTTTTGTTCTATACAATGCTACGCATTCCCTAAGTCGCGAGATCGATCTCATCGGTGGGCCTAACCAGTGCCTCACAGTTGTAGTTTTGTAGTAATACTGAATGACAGGGTAATCTCCATTGTTTGTAACAACAGCAGAATTCCCCTACTTCAGCAGTTGAGTGTAATGTTTCTAATGCGCGAATAGACCACTCTAATAATAAAGTACTGTTTAAATTGTAGTTAGCTTACTGTTGACGTCTTTTGTCTGACAGCTTGTATTCAGTATGGTACTTCAGGTAAGTCATCATCTGAAAGACTGATATCAAGCCCTCTTCGGTTTAACTATGAGTGAGAAAGCGAAGCTTCAGTCTTCGTAACCCTTCTTCATACCTCCTAGTGATATGATTTCTAGCTCTTCTTTGATTAGTTTCTAAGGAATTTCGAAAGTGGTTATGGTGCGTATATATTAACCGCAAAGTCGGAACTTATAAATCCATGTAAACAAGATAGATGGTAGAACATCTAACTACCTACGCGAAATCCATTAGTTAAAATGGCCCTAACTACATCTCCTGATTTTTTGGCAGCTGTCAGACACGTCTCGTAAACCGTTAATGCCCAGCTCTTGCTACGCTCGGGCTCACGCTGTTCCTTGCAGTTTTTCAGAAACGCTTAGTAATAACGGACGCAAAAACCAAAACACCGATTGGCCGCTTGGGAATTCTTTATTGTAACACCAACATATAAAAAATATTTCTACTAAGGTCTGTGAACAAATATTACAATAATAAATCACAAGATTACTTCTGACGGTTGTCTCCTGACTTCTTTCTGAACAGCGACCGGTGAGACGATGACTGTCGTATTGATGCCTCCGCGAAAATTGGGGAAGTTGATTTTAAGCAAACAACCAAGAATTGATCGTTCAATCTTCAACTCCATTGACACTCCCCGGCAAAAAAGGGATCCAACCCTTTTTTCCTTCACGACCAATGCACGCTGACTTGGATGCCATTGCGAGAACCTGGGTCACACGGACAGAGCTGAAATGGAAAACAAACAGAAAAGTCAACACACCACAAGCATACTCACAGCACAGTCTCACACATCGCTGACGACCTGCGCCTCCTGACAGGGACCTCCTCTTGACATCTTGCAACACAATCGCCACTTGTTAGAATGACTCTTGCAGAATGCAACGTGACCATAGCACCAACTCATGATACTCTACGCACATCCTCTTATCTACTCACTACCAATTGTCACTGAAATCGCCTGTCACTCATTCTGCCTCAGTTCTAGTAACGATGACGTATGCGAGCCTCAGTCGTCTACACTCCCGCTCTCCGGGGTGTGGGATCACAGCTAATCATTATCTCCGTATGCATGTCATTCTCAGAAGTAGCCTCCCCGGCGTATACGGGGCCCCATCTGCTGTCCTTAACATCAATCAATTCATTCACGGATGTAGAAGACTCGAAACAACTTCAGAAGTAATCACGACGAAAATTTTAACAAAATTATGCAATAAAAACAAGGAGTAAACACAATGAATCCAAAAACACCACCAATTGATGTGACACACCACACATATATACAAAATGGACACAGAAACTCGTGGATCACATCTTGATGTAATTCCTCTGAAGAATCGCAGGACTTACACCAGTACGCCTACAACCCTTCTCACGTTGACGATTGTAATTTGTGGAATGTCCGGACAGAAACAAGATTAACCAACAATTACATCAATTGGAACTCAAACAATTATTTAACACAAACATAACTACAATCAACACATCAAATGTTGTGGATTCTGGCACGACAAACTACCCTTGAAGAACTGTAGGACTTACAGCAGTACGCCTACATTCCTTCTCAGGTTGATGATCCAAGTGGAAGTCGTCCGGACACAAACAGAATTACCAACAGCTAGATGATAAATGATATCAATTCAGTATATACAATATGAACATATGTACAAAATCACACACCAAGCACATTGGACTGCTCATTGATGCGCTACCCTTTGAAGAATCGAAGGACTTACAGCAGTACGCCTACAACTCTTCTCAGGTTGACGCTCTAGGCTGGAAAATCGTTGCAGAGTTCATTTGCTAACTTCCTTCTATGAGTTATATCCTCAAATCTGAACGGCAACACGCCCATGTCATTATATCGTAGAACATAGATGACGAACAAACACACGACATATCTCATCAACCAAGTGTAGAAACAGAGTAATTTACACCAAAGATAATAGAATTCAAATGGTAACTTGAAACTAGAAATGCCTTTATTCATGCAAGTCAATTTAACAATTACTCTCTCGTTTACACTTGGCTTATTTTCACTAAATTGAGCAATATCTTTCGTCTTTTCAAACGCACCAATACTATCATAGTCATTGCATAAGGCACGTGAGTTCATGTACGTCCATTTCATTGTGGATGAAAACACAAATGATGACTGAGTGACACAAGGTGATGAACTTAGCGGTGGATCAGAAGCTGTTCTTTTTCGGCTTTCAGA